TATATATATATATATATATATATATATATATAAACTACTGTTCAACTTTTAAAGAGGAAACAGCGCCCCCCACAGTCATAGTATATATCACTATTTAGGAGAATCGGGAAAAAGTGTTTATTTGTAGTTTCTTTTATTTTCTGTCATCTGACGTTTAACTAACTTTAAGCAGTTTAATCATATAGAAATAAATATATATTTCTACTTAACGATTTTTGAAATACAAAAAAATAATATTAATGAAATAGTTTTATATTTCAAAATGTCAAATCACTTTTTTAATCGAAAAACATAAACGAGTATACCCCACTGCCCTGATCGACATTTCACTGTAGAACAATTATAGGTAAAGAAAAAAGATTAAACTCACCTGTTAGGTCACCCTCCTAAAATAAGCAGAGGAGAAAAAAATAGAAGTTGATGAAATATGCACATTTTCACAAAGTTTAAAGAAAAGGTATAATGCAAAAGTGAAATGTCCTGTATTAATTGGGTCTAAATCAATCCCGGGGTGTTTTAAATCCAGATGTTGCCATTAAATGTGTGCAGGCTCACCTGGCAGCGTGGGAAACAGCGCACCTGCAGGGAGCACGCGGCGACAAGCAGCGTTAACACGGCGGAAAAAAACATCTTAAACAGCTTTTAATTCGTAGAGAAACAGAGAGCTGCTGTTTCTGTTAATCCTCTGATGTGAAGCTGTGAGCTGTCCTCTGCTTCGCAGCGGCTGTCTCTCTGGGGGCTTTCTTCCTCCTCCGCTCTACTTGAACTATGATTTCCCAGTCTACTGTAACGGCCCCAATGACTCACATCAATGCGTCATTTCCCTTCCTTTCCTCTTTTTGCTATTTTTAATGAATAAATAACCGCAGAGGGCTGCTCGTGTTTTGGGGCACTTTTTGATTTATCTCCTTCAATTTAGCCTGTTTAGCAGCATTTAATTGTGTTTCTATTTGAAAGTATACAATTGCGTTACTATTGGTAAGCAGCAGACTGCAGAACTTTGCTTAGGGGCCCCTGACCTCTTAGGGGCCCCATCACTGACACCTGGTTGCCTTCCTATGCAATTGTGGACTAGAATGTCTCTTTACAGATATAATGGTGCGAAAAATTCTTATACCCACCTGATATAAGGTTGATTGACCGAACCTTATTTATGGCAAGGCAAGGCAAGGCAAGGCAAATTTATTTGTATAGCACAATTTCGTACAAAGACAATGCAAAGTGCTTTACATGATTAAGATATACAAAAATAAAACAGAATCAAAGCAAGTAAGAAAAAAATTTATTAAAAAAATGCAGAAACAAAAAAGAACACTAAAAACAGTTGGATCAAAGAAAATAAAAAAAAGTTGAACTAATGATGTTTCAGTTGAACTGTTTAACTAGAGCAGTCGAAGGCAATCCTAAACAAATGTGTTTTTAGTCTGGATCTAAAGGAACTCAGGCTTTCCACACTTTTACAGTTTTCTGGAGGTTTGTTCCAGATAAGTGGAGCATAGGAACTAAATGCTGCTTCTCCATGTTTAGTTCTGGTTCTAGGTATGCAGAGCAGGTTGGAGCCAGGAGACCTGAGTGGGCTGGAAGGTTGATACACTGATAGCAAGTCTGTGATGTATTTAGGTGCTAAGCCATTCAGGGATTTATAGATGAACAGAAGTATTTTAAAGTCTATTCTCTGATGTACAGGGATTTATACCCCAACACATGACAGATTTCAACAGGATGGTGAGCCGGGACAGTGGTACTTTTAATTACTATGCTAATAACTGTGTATGCTAATAACTGTGTATAGTTCATTAGATGGTTGCTAAAAAAAAATACACTCAATATGTTTCAAACCGCAATAAATATCTTAAAAGAACTATGTGTTTGAGAGACGACTTGGAATTATGGGTAACCCAGAGCGTACATTAAAACCATAACCATTACATACAATGTGTTAGCGATACCAAAAAGAGGTACTTCAGCGGATTCCAGAAAAGAAAAAGGAAAGAAGAGCTGCTGGAAGAACAGAAAAAACTTCCCTAAATAAAGATGTTCTTTCAAAGAACCGAAGAGGGAGAGGTGGACATTGCTGCTGCAGAGAGTAAAGATGGTGACCAGGAGAGGAATGGAGAGAGCGTGGGTGAGGGGGGGGAGCCCGATAAGACTGATTTTACAGCAGAATATACTAAAGTATATCCATGTCTAGTGAAGGTGACGAATGATTAAGTGTATATGTATGGGGCACATTTCGGGTCTGTTGTCTGTGGCGGTGAGGTGGGGGTGGGGGGTGTTGTACTTCATATGGGCCCCACCCAGATAATGTTGCTTATGGGCCTATTGTTCTGTCGTTACGCCATTGACTCTGGTTCTATGGTTTGCATCCATAAATGGAATTTTTCTTTCTTTTTTCCTGCTCCTTGTGGGTTTCTTATTAAATTAATTAACTGAACTTTAATGATCTCAAATTGGAGAAATTTACCTCTGCATTTAACCCATCCCCCTTGGGGAGCAGTGGGCTGCCATTGTGCGGCGCCCGGGTAGCAGTGTGGGGTTAAGGGTCTTGCTCAGTGACCCAGAGTGGTAGCCTGTGGGAGTGGGGCTCAAACTCAGAACCCCAAGCCGCCACTCCAAACTCCTTCCAGTACTTGGTTACGCTCAGCATTTCTGTCTCTGGAACAGCATAATGCCGCCACCGCCATGTTTCAGCATGGAGATGTGGTCATGCATGCAGGGTAAAAAGTTCAGTTTTATTCTCACCAAAGCACCTTATTCAACATGTTTGATGTGTCCCCCATGTGGCTTCTTGCAAACCGCAGATTGGACCCTGTGTGAGTTCCTTTTGACACTTTTACATAAACATTATATTTCATGAATTGCAGATGTGTAGATAAGTGCAACTTATCCAGCGTTACCACTTGGCCTCCTGGTTACCTCTCTGATGAAATCATTTCTTTGGTTTGCACAACTAGCTGAAATATTCCTGGGCATGTTTTAGATCCTCTGGGGTACACACTTTCAACTTGTTACATGAGATCTTAAAACCTCTGGGTACATTTTTAGCTGTTAACATAAACAAACACAATCGAGTCAGATAGTTGACAGCCCATTTTCAGGTGGCAGAGAGAGTTATCAGAAAACAAACAAAAAGAATAATCCCAAGGGAATAAAATTTGATTTACTCCATGTCAGTTTCAAGGAAAGACGATGATCTCTTCTTGTTCCCAGATGGCCGCTCACACTGAGCCTTGTTCTGCTGGAGGTTCCTTCCTGTTAAAAGGGAGTTTTTCCTCTCCACTGTCACTACAAGCATGCTTGGTTTGAGGGATTGCCTTCGACTCAATGAGTCGAAGGCAACACATATGAGCAAGAAAAACTTTCAAAGTCCAAGTAAACCAGAACAAAGAGTCATCTTAGGACCACAACATAAAAACATGGAGTATTCTAAACGATTCAGGGACTCTCCGTCTGTTTGGCCAGATGAAAATGACACCTTTTGGTAACGAACGCTCCAGGTGGGATGAAGCCTCACACACCCACTGTTAATTATGAAGGTAACTATCATGTGACAGGCCTTTTTTTACTTTAAAAAAGTTGCTGGTCTGACATGATTTAATTCTTTAAAAGGTCTTTCATATACCCTTTAACGAATGGCACGTGTAATCAACCAGCACTTTAAACCAACAACAGAGAAACATCTTCCTTATAGTTTGAAAAATGTAAATTATATTTTCAAATTAGCTTTAAAGTCACGTTTAATACATTGCTAAAAGAAATTACAAGCAGAAAAATACTTCTAAAATCTAAGTATCTCTGTTTAAATATACGCACATTTTCTCTCTGGCTAAAATCTAAAATAAGTCAATTGCCTGAAGGCAGCAATTAAAGGAGGTAATGAAACGGTGTGTAGCTTATAACAAAGCTAAAGTTGTTGTTTTTTTTACTCACTTATTGTTTTATGTTATTCAAAATGACCTAACCTGTTGGTCTTTTAATATGCAATATGGTTAGTTTTGAAGACAGAAAGCAGATATGGCCCATCTGAAACCAAAAACACGTCTATCTAGAGAAAAAAACAAAAGAAACAGGTTTCCTCAACATCGCAGTCGTCTCCTGTATCAAGTACATCCTGTGAAAAAACCACAGCGTAATATTTATCAGATGTTTCCGCACGTCTTGTCAGTGCTGCAAAAGGAAACCAGAGGTTTGTTTTACAGATATCTGAGGGGGGGTTGTCGAGTTTGCTCATCTGAAGGCAGATGTTGTGGTGTGTGGGTGCTACTGTTGGGTGGGGGATCTTTATCACTGTTGGAAAGACTGATAAAAACGGCCTCGGATTTGGTGAGCCTGCGTTTACATGAGACCTTCTTGGGTCTGTATTGCGACAGAGGATGTACAGTTATTGCATTCTTATGGGCTGGTTGTTTTCAATCAGGTGTTCAGTGGAACTCACAAAGTGTGAATCCTGTCAATACAGCCGTGAGCATGTTTTAACTGTTGGGTAAAGAAAACCCATTTTTTAACAGCAACATTACGGTTTGTGATAAGGTGGAATTCAGCAAGTTCTTCCATTACAGCAACCAGCAAAAATTCTTCATCAGGTGGCGACTGATTTAAAGACAACAAAACGGAAACAGTAGCCCTAAAGCAATCCAACAAGTAGAGCCAGAATACTGCATGTCTGTGTTTATATAGCAAAGACACGTAGTGGTATTTCTCTCTCTGACATTATATCCGGATATACTTTTAAGATGATTTGTTTGCTTAGTACCCAACGAATCTGATTTTTTTTCTAATTTTTTTTTATTTATTTCAAATTAGCAGTTCACATTAGTTTCCTTGCCCTTTGGTAGAACTTAAATGATCATTATTACGCCTTAAAAAAGGCAGATCGCAGATGCATAAAAAACTTTAGAGGACACGACTTTACAGTTTTGCTTAAATTTACTTTACTACAATTTTAGTCACTCTGTACGTTAAAAACCTCACTATTTAATTACATGGGCGCCGATCAATACTTAAATTTATAGTGGAGGATTTTATTTTGTTGGATGGATCATCAAAATAATTGGTCCTCCTAATTGTCAGTCATTCTGGTGATATATTTACGTAAGGCTGTCTTACGTGCTCATCCCGTTAGCTATCTTTTTCAGTGCATGAGCACTTTCTGACGTTTATGTGTGGCGATCTATGGTTTTACACGGTTTCATTAAAGCTTTCCTTTCTCACCATGGTTCTTTGAAAATGGGTCGTAAGAGAAAAAGTGTCTACGAAGTGCATGAGAAGAAAAGAAAGGCCTCTGAAGAGAGAAAGAAGATCAGAATGTTTTTGGGAGAATCTTTCACACTACACTGAAAGCACAGGTTGGGCTTCCCACTGATGCTTCAATTGCGAAGTTTCTACTCCTCACGTAAAGTTTGGCATGCTATTTGGAGAAATCCATTTTACATCATCGCTAGTGAAACAAGGAGAAATAGGTTCATACATGCTCTCGCACATGTTTAATAGGGGTTCCCTCATGGGAGCGGGTACAGGGTTGAGCATGTGCATTATGTTTTTAAGTGGAGAGGGCAGGGTCTTTTCAAAAACTCAAGAAAATCCTCCAGTATACCTTTAATCTAAAGCAAAATTGCATCAGCGGTCGCCATTATGAACACTGTTGGAATAATGCAGACAGTAAGGAAGTATGTAGGAAAAGGAATCAGGATGTTTTCCATCAACAGCTCGTTAAGCATAGGAACCACCTATTAGCTAAAC